TTCTTGTTGTTGAGAAATGTCTATTCAGGTCACTTGTCTACTTTTCAAAGTTGAGTTGTTTACTTGCTATGAAATTGTTTAAGTTTCTTACATATTTTGGAAAGTAATTCCTTATCAGATGTATAGTTTGCAAATATATTCCCTCATTCTACAGGTTATCTGTTCATTCTGTTGACTGTTTCCTTTGCTGCATGGAAACGTTTGGTAGAAGTCATCAGTGAAACCATAGAGTCTTAGATTTCTTTGTTGGGAAATGGTTGTTTACTAATTCAGTCTCCTTATTTGTTAAGGAGAGTTCTATTTTACTCATAATTTCTGTTTCCTGATAATTCTGTTCTTGTAGGTGGTATATTTCTAGGAACTTACCCATATCTTCTAGATGGTGCTACTTTTTGGCAATATAGTAATTACTCATCATAGTTTATTGCGATGCTTTGAATTTTGTGGTATCAGTTGTGACATCCTCTTTTTCATTTCTGATTTTATCTATTTGAATCTTTTTTTTCCCACCTAGTTAATAGGTCATTGAGTTTGCTTTTTTTTTTTTTTTTTCAAAAAACCACTCTTAGTTTTGTCTGCCTTTTGTATAGTTTTTCTAGGCTTCATTTCATTTATTTCTGCTCTGATCTTTATTATTTCTCTCTTTGTGCTCACTTTGGGCTTAGTTCATTCTTTTTTATCTAATTTTTAAAGGTATAATATTAGGTTGCTCATTTGAGATTTTGCTTCTCTTTTAATATTACCGTTTATTGTCTAAACTTCCCTCTTGGAACTGCCTTCATGCAAGCCTTAAGCTCATGTGCGTTTCCATTCTTTTGGTATAAGTTTAGCTACTCCTGCCATTTCAGTTTCCACTTGCATGGAGTTCTTTTTCCATTTGCTATGGTTTGGATATGGTTTGAGCCTGTTTCCTAAAAGCTCATGGGTTGGAAGCTTGGTCTTCAGTATGGCAGTGTTTGGAGATGGGGTTTTTAAGAGGTGGGGCTCTGTGGGAGGTCCTTGGGTCTTTTTCCCCTACATGCTTGGATCTTTGTCATCTGCTGTGAAATAGCAAAGGAGGTCTCTCATCAGCACCTGTGCCAAACATTTAGAACTTTTAGCCTCCAAAACTGTAAGCTAAATAAACATTTTTTCTTTATAAAGGTAGCCTGTCTTAGTTATTTCTTTATATTAATGATAAATGGACTAATACACCAACCCTTTACTTTGAGTTTATGTTTGTCTTTACAAGTCTGTGACTCTCAGGGCTGGGGATATAGCTCAGTGGCATAAATGCCTACCTGGCAAGCACAAGGTCCTGAGTTCGATTCCTGGTACCAAAACCAAAAAACAAAAACAACAACAACTGCAAAAAAACAAGTCTGTGACTCTCTTGTAGGCAGCATATAGTTGGGTCTTTTTTAAAAAGTCCATTCAGCCACTCTAAGTCTTTTTATTAGGGAATGAGGCCTGAAATTTGAACTCAGATCTATCAAAAATCTGTTCTATTTCCATTATACTACTCTGCTTTAATGTGACTTGAATTTGCTCTTCTGCCCAAAGCATAACTGAAACATGAAATAGTATTTTTGAGGACTTCTACCCCCTAATACTTGTGGATTACTATTCTGTTCTTTGAGACATCTTTTCTACAACTTGCTTTTTCTGAGATACTCTAATTCTTAAGCCTGAAAGGAAGCCTAACTTCAGATTAGAACCCGGATCCTTAATGCTTAAAGGCTTTCCTTGGTCACTTTGAATTGCTTCTTGTGTACTGTCTTCCAATGAGAATCACTTTCTAGGTTCTTCCAAGGAAAAGCTTCACTGGCTTTAAATTCAATGAATATTCTCACCTCTATAATATAATAATATTTATAACATTATATTTATAATTTATAATACTATTTAATATAAGAAATATATTTCAACATTGTGGTCAGTGTTGATATACTTTTATTACATCATTTCCAAGCTTCTAGAAAGCAAATTCTCTTTAATCTTTTTAAGCAAAATCTCAGCTATATTGTACAGGGAAGTGGGAGGTAAATGGGATATAAACTATCTGCTCTCCTCCTGCTTCTATAAAAGGGGGTCTTTTTCTAAGACATCTGCATTCCTGCAGAGGAGGAGTCCACCTTCTTCCTACAGTTCTTCCCTTTTTTGTTTTATAGAGTGTCACATTTGTGGCTTTGTCCTGTGTGTAAGCCAATGGAGTTACTTTGTCACAAAGAGCTAGACAGTCACTTACTTGTCTGTGCATATCCTGTTTTTTTTGTTTTTCCTCAGGTTGGGTAGTAGTTATGGTTGTGAGTTTCTCACAAATTGTGGTCACATAAGCTTGCTCTAATAATAATTTTGGATCTTGACAGGAGAGCACTAAGCAGGAGGTCAGCTTTCTGCTCTCTCTGGTGAGGAGGCCTTAAGGCTACCTCTGAAAAACTAAAGTCATTAATGATCCTTCCATGTAAGTACTTGGGTCTAAAATATGGCCTCTAGGGTTCTTTCTATCACCATAAAATCTACGTGTCCCCTTCCATGACTACTAAATTCACCTTTTCCTCAATCATCATTTTAAACTAAAAACTTTTCACCTGCAGTGGTCAAGAATGAGAAAGATAAGCTTTTTGTTTTATTTTTAATAAAGTTTACAAGGACTCATTTTATCCCCCTCTTTCATTCTATGTGGGACACTGTAGTGTACTAAACTAAGAGGTCATCCTATGTCCAGACCATACTTCTTTGGTCTAAGACTATATGAGTCCAAAAAAGAATCCATGAGGCTTAATTAAGGTTAAGTTTTATTAAATTCTCTAGGTCTTTCAGCTGGGCTGCTACCCAGAGGATACACTGAACCCTAGGTTGGTCAAGGGTTGCTATTAGGAGAAGGAAAAAAGCATCATATCCAGAATAGTCAAGGGAAAACTCAAAATTTTCAAAATACAACCTATATGATACATCTATTCTTTTTTTCTTGACAATTAACCTATTGGCAGGTGAAAGGAGATAAGCTCTTTCGAGGGATGGCTACTCTTAGTGTCTGAAGGTGGAAGCGAGGGATGCAGAGTCAAAATCATTTTGACTTTATTTTGTAGAATTCATTTCCATTTTACTTCTCAATGAAGTAAAAGAATGTTAAATGTTCATCAGATACTTGACTGTTAGCCTATTGTTGAGTGTCTTTGTGACAAAAAGTGCCTTACTGTCAGACTATAAATGACTAGCAGAGTTTACAAATGACTAAGTTTGGTGATAAAGGCCATAGCCTATCACTTAGTCAACTAAACAATAACACTGTAACTTGAATAAGTGCCGGCAACCTTGAGACGCCATTGCTAACCTAAAATAGATCAAAGATCTGATGTAATCAATTTGCCAGGAGTGAGTAGGGGAATACCTACCTCATCCATTATGGCCCCCTTCACCAGCAGACAAATAGACTAGTTATTGGCATGCGTCACAAGGCAGTGATAGTTTCTGTATCAGAATCCTTATTTCACATTGGTGATGTTGCTCAGTGGTAGGGTGCTTGCCTAGAATATGTAAGGTCCTGGGTTTGATCCCTGGTACTAGGAGAAGCTTCACTTGTACACAGTTCATGATGGTGGGTGTATTGCCATGTCATATGCAATGATGGACCTATGTGGCAGTGGTATCCAGTAGAGTGGCACAGGTTTGATTCTAGTTAATTTTATCAGAAAATGGTCTCTTATCGTGGGGAACAATATAAGTCACCCAGATTGCCAGACCGCCAGTTACAATTTTTTTTGTAGTGCATAGCAAACAAAAAATGTTATCTTTAATTTGTGATCTTTCCTCCAAGGAAGGGGCAAATCAGATGGTTAGGCCATTGGTATTCATCCAAGAGTTAGGAAAAACATTACATACCTGACCCTCACAAGTTTTGTATAAGATAAGGATTAAGACTTTTCATTCTGTCCATTGTGATGATGAGACCTTGCCACTCATTCTTCTGGAGTTGTCAGTGTGACCAGAAAGATACTACTACCCAGTGCATACATCAGCTTTCACATTAGTTGAATCATTAGTCTCAGACACTTAGGGGAAACTCTGTGAGGTGAGGGACCTCACTGAGCAAGCCACTTTTCTATAGGTGGCATTTTGCTTCATGTTTCCCCAAAGGGATGGTAGCTACATTCTTGCTGAAGGCTGAAATGTTGCTAGGGTCAGGCTGGCTATGCTTTTGTGTACACCATTTCCATTCAGCTGGTGAGACCTGTTAGACCTTGCCTACATTATTAGTCAATTCCTTGTTGACTCAGCTCAAAATAAACATGTCAGATTGTTGAGTTTCAAGGCTCCACAGATCATGTACTGAGTTTTGACAAGAATAGGCAAATAGTGTTTTTTGGCCTAGTGTTTTTGCAAATAGTGTTTAAATAGTAGGCAAATAGTGTTTTTTTAAAGGAATGGCCATATTGGAGCGATGGTGAGTCTAAAATCCCAAGGAATGCCTCTAGGAGGAACTCTAATGTCCCCGGGAGCTATATTTGTCAAAATCATCAGTTACAGAGACTTGTATTTCGAAGAGGTTATTAGGGTTGTGGGGTCCTGCATGTACGGAATTTGCAATTGCCTGATACATAAATTTCAGTGCAATTGCGTCTGAGCTCTCTAAAGCTCAATGCTGATTTGCAGACTAATGTATGTAAAGGACCAGTGAGAATGCCCATGTGGGGCACATATTATCTCCAACAGCAAAATAGGCTTTGGGCTTTGCTTGTTATTGGGAGGATATTAGGTCCTTTGGGATCAGGAAGACTTCAATTCTACCCTTAATCATCTTTCACTTTAAAGCACCAACGTCAGGAAAGAGGGAAGGAGGAAGGAGTGTGTACAACGCAGTAGGAAACAGCAGCTCAGCGTCGGGTAAGGAAGGCCTTGTATTCACTTGGTTTCAGAGTTTGATGCTCAAACAAGTGAACTTCTGTTTTTATTTTATGCAAAGATCTATCTGGACAGGCAAAGGCATCATTATTGGCACTCTTTATTTCAGGTTTGGTTTGGAGACTCCTGAGTTAAGCCACAAACACATTGCCTTTTGCTGCAGCCACAGATATGTTGCTGCATGTTCATGATAACATCGCCCAGTCTGGAGGAGTGTAAGTAGTAACTAAGGCACCATTGGATGGCTTGTTTTAATTCCATTTTTTGCTTCTCAGCCTTTAAGTATATTTCATTAACCAGTATTAGTTAATACATGTTAATGGTATTCAGTGTGACATTTCAACATGTGCATACCATGAACTGATTGAATGAGGGTCATTAGCATTTGCCTCTCCTTATCACTGCTGTATGTTTGGAGCCTTGAAGCTCCTGTATTCCAGATCTTCATAAAGTATACCATAGATGTGTTATTGGAAAATGCAGTTATCCCTCTGGGATGCTGAACACTAGAACTTACTCCTTCTAACTATGTTTTAGTACCCATCATCCAACTTCTCTTTTCCTACCCCTTCAATCTCTAGAAATAAGTATTTTACATTCAGGTTGAAATTTTTTTGGCTTGCACAGATGAGAATGTAGCATTTGTCTTTCTATTTTAAAATTAACTTTATTAGTGTATTTCAGATATGCATAAAGTTCACATTCATCATAGGGAGTTTGTACCTATGCATCACATATTTTGATTCTCCTTTTCCCTCCATTCCCTCTCCTCCCTTCAACTTCTCTTCTCCTCTTTATATAAAAAAACTTTGTTTTCATTTTTCCTCCCATTCTCTTTTTTCCCTTTCTTCTTTTCCCTCTCCCCTCTCCCTTGTTTCCCTTCCTATATGAACATTTTCTTCACATTTCTCAATATCTATTATACATTTTGGCCCCTATTTTTATCCTTTTTGCTTCTCACACCAGAGAAATGATGCAATATTAAAACATGTGTGTCTGATTTATTTTACTTAAGAGTATGGTCTCAAGGTGCATCCATTTACCTATAAAAGTCTCAATTTTATCCTTCTTTATGGCAGAGTAGTACTCCACTGTATAAAAGAAAACACATCTGCTTTACCCATTGATGCGCATTTGGTCTGTTTCCAAAATTTAGCTATTACAAACTGTGTCTGTATAAATGTGGGTGTACATTATCATTGTGGTATGCTTTTAATTCTTTTGGGAAGATACCAAGAAAGGGAATAGCTGGATCAAATTTATTATTTTTTTATTTTTTGAGGAATCTCCACATGGATTTCCACAGTGATTGCACCAATCTACCAACAGTAGGGAAGAGTTACTTTTTTTCCCCACAGCCCCACCAGGATTTGTTATTAGTTGATTTCTTGGTCATAGCCATTCTTTCTAGAGTGAGTTTCTAGAGTGTGTTTGGAATAGTTTCTGCATCTTCTATTCTATTCCATTGTTTCTTGGGTCTGTTTTTTTGTTTTGTTTTGTTTTGTTTTGTTTTACCAATACCATGCTATTTCTGCCACAGTAGCTTTGTAGTATTATTTCAAGTCAAGTCTTGGTCATAGCCATTCTTTCTAGAGTGTTGTTTTAATTTTCATCTCTCAAATGAATAGTGACGTTGAAAATTTTTTCATATATTTATTTGCTATTGTACTTCTTCATCTGAGAGGTGTCTATTCATTTCAGATGCACATTTTTGAATTGGATCTTTAAATTTGGAGAGGTCTGATTTTTTTTTTGAGTTCTTTATATATTCAAGATAGTAGTCCTTTGTCTTAGGAACAGCTAGCAACAACTTTTCACACTCTGTGGATTGACTTTTCATTCTGATGGTGGTTTCTTTTGTGGTGCAGAAGCTTTTCTAATATGATGAGATCCCAGTTGTTGATTATTTGTAATATTCCCTGTGCTATTGGGGTTTTGTTCAAAAAGTCTTTGCCTATACCTCTGTCTTCAAGAGTTCTACCTGTTCTGTGTTCAGCAGATCTAGTGTTTCTCTTTTAATATTTAGATCTTTGATCCATTTAAATTTTAGTTCAGTGCATAGTGAGAGATATGGGCCTAGGTTTAATCTTTGGAATATGGAAAGCCAGTTTTCCCAGCACCATTTATGAAAGAGTTTATCTATCTTCCAATGAGTTGTTTGGCCCCTTTTTCAAAGATAATTGTTGAGTATGTTTGGAATAGTTTCTGCATCTTCTACTCTATTCCATTGTTTCTTGGGTCTGTTTTTTTTTTGTTTTGTTTTGTTTTGTTTTGTTTTACCAACACCATGCTATTTCTGCCACAGTAGCTTTGTAGTATTATTTCAAGTCAAGGATTTTGGTGCCACCTGCTGTGTCTTTGTTGCCCAGAGCCGCTTTTGCTTCTCCTACCCAAGAACAAGGGGTATCTTTTCATTTTCTGAGATCCTCTACAATCTCCTTTTTTTTTTTTTTGTCTTTTTGAGACAGGGTCTCACTATACAGTTCAGGCTGGCCTTGAGCTCACTTTGTAGTCCAAGCTGGTCTTGAACTTGCAACGATCCTCCTGCCTCAGCCTCCTGAGTGTTGGGATTGCAGGCATGAGCTACCACATCTGGTTACAATCTCCGTTTTCATAGTACTGTAGTTTTTAATGTAAAGATCTTTACTTCTTTCATTAAACTGATTCCTAAGTGTTTCATTTTTTTTGATGATGTTATACAGATTGTGGTTTCCTTAATATCTCTCTCAGTGAATTTGTTATTTGTGTACAGGAGTGGTATTTATTTTTGGGTGTTGACTTTGTTTTCAGCTACACTACTGGATTTGGTTATTAAATCTAGAAGTCTTTTGGAGGAATTTCTGGAATTTTCTATGTAGAACATCATATCATCTGCAAATAATGATAATTTAACTTCTCACTTTCTATCCATACTCATTTTATTTGTTTCTCTTGTCTAATTGTTCTGGCTAATATTTCCAGAACTATACTGAATAGGAGTTGTGATAGTAGTCGTTGTTGCTTGTTCATGATTTTAGAATGAAAGCTTTCAGTTTTTGACCATTTAGTGTGATGTTAGCTATTGGTTTGTCATAGATGATTTTTATCAGGTTGTGATAAAGACCATCTATTCCAATTTTCTACAAGGGTTTTTAAATCATAAATAGGTATTGGGCTTTGTCAAATGCTTTTTCTGCATCTATTGAAATGTTCATGTGGTTTTTGTCCTTGATTCTATTACTATGGTTTATTACATTTATTAATTTTCATATGTTGAACCATCCCTACATTCCTGGGATGAATCCTAGTTGGTCATGGTATGTAATCTTCTGGATGATTTGCTGCATTGTGTTTGCCAGTATCTTATTGAGGGTTTTTGCATTGGTGTTCAATAAGGAGATTGACCTGTAGTTCTCTTTTTTGGTTGGATCCTTCTCTGATTTTGGTATCAGGGTACTATTTGCCTCCAAGAATGAGTTAGGGAGAACTGCTCCCCTTTCAATTTCATTAAAGAGTTTGAGAAGAACTGACATCAAATCTTCTCTAAATTTCTAGTAGAATTCAACAGTGAATCTATCATGACTTGGGCTTTTCTTCATTGGTAGGTTTTTAATTACATCTTCAATATCATTGATTGATATTAGGTTATTTAGAATTTTTATATCTTCTTGATTCAGGTATGGTAATTCATGTATATCTAGGAATCTGTCTTTTTCTTCTGCTTTCCATCTTATTAGAATACAGGTTCTTCAAGTAGGTATTAATTATCTTCCAGAATTCTGCAGGGTTTGTAATTAATTCACCTTTTTTATTCCTAATTGCATAGATTTAAGTCTTGTCCCCCCTTTTTTGGATAAGGTTGGCTAAGCGTTTGTCAATTTCATTTAATCTTTCAAAGAACCAACTCTTTGATTCATTGATTCTTTGTATTGTTTTCTTAGTTTTAATTGGATTAATTTTCCCTCTGATCTTATCATTTCCTCCCTCACACAAGATTTGGGCTTGACTTACTCTTCATTTTTGGGAAGCTCGAGGTTCAACATTGAGGTGTTTATTTTAGTTCATTCTTTTTCTGATGTGGAAATACACTGTTACAAATGCCTCCTGTAGCATGGCTTTAATTGCATCCCATAGGTTTTGGTATGTTTTATTGGCATTATCATTTAATTATAAAAACTCTTTAATTTCTTCTTTAATTTCTCCTGTGACCCATTGGTTACTCAGGAGGATGTTATTTAATTTCCTTGTGATTATGCAGCTTTGTGGTTTCTTTTGCCATTGATTTTCAATTTCAATGCACAATGGTCTGATAGTATCCATGAGATGATTCCAATTTCTTTGCATGCACTTAAGCATGTTCTATGAGCTATTATGTTGTCTATTTTGTAGAATGTCCCATGTACAGCTTAGAAGAATATGCATTCTGGTGTAGGGAGGAACATTCTGTAGACGTGTACTAAGTCCACTTTTTTCAAAGGTTTGGTTCAGTTCTGATATTTCTTTGTTGATTTTCTTGTCTAGTTGATCTGTCTGTTTGTGACAGTGGGGTATTGAGATCGTCCTTTACAATTGTATTAGAGCTTATTTTATTTTTCATGTCCATTGATACTTGTTTCATACAGTTGATTGCACTGGTACATATATATTTATGATTGTTATCTCTTCCTCTGGGATTGTTCCCTTAAAAAGCATATAGTGACCTTCTTTGTCTCTCTTAATCAGTCTTGGCTTGAAATCAACTTTGTCTCCAAATTGAATAACTACCTCTGATTTTTTCTGAGTTCCTGTTGAAAGGGAGTATTGTTTTCCATCCTTTGACATTCAGTGTCTAAATTTCTTTTTGAGTTAAATGTGTTTCTTGAGTGCAGTATATTGTTGGATTTTGTTTCTTGATCCCTTTGCCAATCTGCTTCTTTTGAGTGGTGAATTGAGACCATTTAAACTGATGGTTATAATTGATATATATATATATTAACTTATCCTTGTCACATTGTTTCTTGTTATTAGTTCCCTTTCTTCCTCCTCTGTTTAATTGCTTGCCTTGCCTGATGGATTCATTCTATTGGGCTTCATGGAATTGTAGACTTCATATTCTCTTTTTAGAATATCCTTCACAACATATTGGAGTGCTAGTTTGGTGGTCATGAATTTCTTTAGGTGTTCTTTGTCATGGAGATATCTTATTTCTTCATCAATATTGAAAGATAGTTTTATAGGGCACAGCAATCTGGGTTAG